ATCGATCAGTGTTCAACTAATGAGGTAAAGCACTCCGAGGCTATCAGATTTTAGAAACCAAAATCTCCTTTCCACTTAGAAGCATTTATTGTCCGCACACTCCATCAGACTGGTCAACAAGCTGCCTTGGCTAGAACCCTTGAAACTTTCAACACCCATACAAGACCCTACTTCAATCATCTTCCGCTCTCCAGATCCAATCTCATAATCACGCTTCACTCTCCGTGTGTCAGACGATTCGGCATCCGAAGTTCGCAGTGTTGCTGGTGTCGGGATTGCGCTGAATGTCAAGGCTGAGCGTTCACTTTTCGATTGGATCCCGGGTAACAGCCGACTTTGCGTCGTACGTCTGGATGGTTCAGTACGGGTGAACAGCTACAGGACAAAGCGTCGATGCTTATTCGTCATATCGGTGTATGCACCGACCGATTGCGGTACACCTGAAATCAACGATGAATTCCACAAGGACCTCTATCAATTACTCTAAAGTGCTCTACCATCCGACATCGTAGTCATTTCCGGAGAATTCAATGCTCAAGTGGGTTCCCTGGACGAATCAGAGAGGCCACTTGGTGGTTCACATGCAATCCCAGCCAACCGGACTGACAACGAAGAACACTTACTCGAACTGTGTGCTGACCACGGAATGTTTCTGTCAAGCACGAACTTCTCGCACAAGAAACGACACCGCCTTACATGGAGACCGCCAACTTCTTCACAGCGCTGGACTCAAATCGACCACATGGTCATCAGCCACCGCTGGCGAGGATACATTGAAGATTGCCGTTCTTACTGGTCAACACCTGTGGACACGGACCATGCTCTGCTACGAGCCAGATTCCTCCTTTGTCTAACAACCGCAAGAAAGCCATCGAGAACGGATGCCCACAAACGTGTCAATAATGGTTGCAAATCGACCTTGGAAGCGGAACTATCAGATCGCCTCTCAGCTCAACCATCAGCCAGAGGACTCACTGAACACTGGACAGCAATCAAAGAAGCGATCCCAATATCAATCAAAACAACGTCAGATTCTAGCACACGATCAAATAGAAAAGATGGATCTCCCCGACTTCGGTTGTTCTGCTGGACGCTCGGAAGGGCCGTTCCTTCTCATGCAAAATAGAACATAGCCCGCAAATCCCCTAAAAGCCAGCTCATCAAGAGTCTGAGGAATGACCGCGAGAAGTAGTTAGTTGGAAAATGTAGAGTTATGTAGAAAGCTGCGACTTTTGGAAATAGTTACAATATTTTTCGTTTAATTAGGAGCATGGGTCCAAGGCCCAGGCATGATGGTATGAAAACCCTGGGTCACATAAGTCGAATTAGGTTCATTGGATGGAGACCCCGGGGTCATGGTAGCCGATGGCTAGAAACACTGAGTGATAGGGATGAGTGTCACAAACAGTGACGTTCGTGCATCCACTGATCTTTGAAATCGTAGTCCATGTTAGTTCTCTATCCACTTTACTCTGCTCTCGACATTCTAATCTTCATTCTGCTCTTGTATTCAAATGGGTGGCCAAAATACAGCAACCAGAACCGGCGCACGGAAATGCATGGTTAATGGTTGGAGAAATTAAAATCCCAAACTGTGGTAGTCAAATAGGTAGTATCCCTGCATTCTACACTGCATTTTTGGGTCTCAAATTCAATCATCGGCTTGATTAATAAATTCGCATTGTTGATGGGATAGAAGAAGGTTAAAAAGCTGTTCAATGTCGCCCCGCTTTTTGGTTTAATTCTGTTGATCTGTATACCACAAACGCCCTATTTTAACAGAATTCGTTATGCAAAAATCTATATATTCATCGGCAACTACGGTCCCTATCCCAAAATTTCAGCGAGATGCAATCATCCGACCGAATTTTGCGAACGGTACTCTGTAACTATCCCAGATGTCTTCTTTATAGAAAAACGAGCCCCTATTAACACGTCCAACCACCATACATTTCTTTTGCATCCAAAAATCTATGGCAAAAAGTCTCATCGTCAATAAGTACAGGTAGCATCCCGAACAACACAAAGGAGGAATTTGACCTGCAATAACTTATCTCGATTCCAAGATATGATCTCCGCAGCCGATTTTTCTGTCTTCTCCAATTCCAATAATTCTTTCAAACGTGAACACCTTACCGGCTACCTTGATTTCTGTTTTTGATTTGTGCTGCCCGATCTAGACAACGTATATCCGTACTGACAGATTTTCATCGCCTCTTCTAAAACGTCTTCGACGAGATAAGGAGAAGGCATATATGAATGGTAGGCGTTACGATGTTAAACGACTATCGATTATCATCAAGGCAGAGATTCGGCACTTGAATGAGATGTATGTCGAGACCATTTTGGGAAACCAGAGCTGTCGCAAGATGTGGTCGGCGTTGAAGAATCTCTGTGGCTCACGTGGGAGCTCCTGTCCTGACATAGAAGAATTAAACGGACAATTTCCTGCCTCCTCCGGTTCCAATTCTCTACCGTCCGTTTTCAATTTCTCAGAAAACACCAACTCTGTTTCTCTGACTGAGGTTCACAAAGTTTTGAAGCAACTTAATTCAAACAAGGCCCACGAACCGGAGTCATTAGCCCCTATTTTATTGAAAACCTGTGCCAAACACCTTGCAACACCTGTTGCAGAGTTATTTAATTTGTAAATTTCCTCCGGAACAATCCTGGGTTGCTTAAGGGCTGCCTGGATAAGACCCATTCCGAAGAAGGGTTCTTCAAAATATCGACCGATGGCATGTACCTCAGCCCTGTGGAAAGTCTTTGAAAGAGTGCTATTGAACCGTTTGACTACTCTCTCTGTTTTTCTTGATCCTCTTCAGTTTGCTTATAAGAAATCCCCTTCGACTGTTGGCGCTGTTGCGTATATTGTCCATTCTGTGGCCTCAATGCTTGATAAGAGTGCTGGAACTGTTCGCCTTATTTTTCTTGATATGCCAGTGCCTTTGGTTCGCTTGACCGTCGCATTCTCATTCAACGTCTTACTGACTGCGGCTTAGGATTCGACGTGTAAAATGTTCTTGTAAACTACTTCTCTTTTAGGGCGCAATTTACCTCATGCAATGGTAAAACGAAGTCGTTTTCTTATGTTAGCTCTGGTGTTTTCCAGGGCGCCACTTTGTCTCCCTTCTCTTTCCCTGTATATAAACAACCTGCCTACCCCTAGCAACTTTATTGCCTGTAAGTATGCGGATGATGTGGTGATTGGGTGCCCCTCCAATACCGATGCATCTTTCCACAAAATTCGAGGCAGCCGGAAAGTTTCATACTTAATGTTTCCAAATGTGCTAACGTGCCCTTCAGCCTTAAATCTGGCTCTCGTTATCAAACTACCTTTAATGATTTACCGAACCTCGTCCTTAACAATCAGAGCATTCCCATAGATGAATATGTTCAATGCCTCGGAGTCGTTCTATCCCACAATCTCTCTTGGGCCTTACATGTAGAGAACGTTTCAAATAGGGTTCGTAAATTTTTTCTCCTTTCAGGCTTAAGAAAAATGCTGTTCACCCAAACGTAATTTTCAAATTCGTGGTAGCATGCATCCTCCCTCATCGACTGTACTGTTCCCCTTTTTTCCGGCCTAGAAGAAAAAGATTTCATATTAATTTCCAGGTCCATAACACTTACTATCCCGATGTAACGACATAGCCAGAGATGTCCTGGTGTGCAAAGATATCGATGCATGTGAAAGAATAGCCGACAGAATATTGAACAGTGAAGATCACTGCTTGCACAATGAACCTATTAAATCCATGTCAAACCCCCGTACCCGCTCCCATTATAGGCTCCTTCCCTTACGCACCGTCACATACAGAAACAGCATCCTCCCTTCTCTTGCCCAGGTTTAAGTAAATCGGGCATCAATTATTGCAGGTCTGGTTGAACATCTCATGAATTAGTTTGTTTATTCATTTTAATTTATCACTGTCATCATCCTGCTTGCAGTTTGCTGTCGTTTTTGTTTAATCTATTCACACTCTGATGCGATCCCCTCCAATTCCACTGTATTTGCGTGAAAAATCGCCAAAACTTCGGGTGCATAAAGCTCACTTTGCCTTAACTTGACTTGAAGGCATAATGAAGATATGTTGAATATGTGCAGGAACAGCGTGTTGGAAACTCTTCGGATTAGAGTAGCGTAAGTGATACCCGAGGTGGCGTTCAGTAGAATGACATTCCTGATGATTAACTGTAATTTAACTAGTTTCATCTCACTGGATTAGAGCTCAGTAACTATGCTCGGGGATATTTAAATGATGAATTTCATCGTATACTGAGGGAAACAAACGCGAACTGAGAAGCTAGGAAGCACCGGTCAGCTGGTTAGATTTCATGGATTCCGTGAATCCGGATCTGGGATCTCACAGGTAAAACGCAATCACAACAGCAAATGAACCCAGGGCCGCTGATTAGATTCGTTAAGTTTTCTTTACTCTGTACACCTCAGACTTGTACTCC